CTGCTGCGTGAGCGGCGCCCCTCGTTCTGGTCGCCGGCTGACATCTTGGGCCGGCGGTGGCTGGCAGGCTGGGAGGGTGCAAAGAGTCAGCGAGAGGGGAAGAAATATCTCGTGCGTGGGGAAAGGCTGGGTCCCAGTGGGAGATGGGGCCTCACCAGCTGGATCTCACCAGCCTCATCCCCCTGTGACTCTGGCCATGCTGCTGAGACCTCAACACTGTCAGTCCAGCTGCTCTGTCCCCAAAACCTGCACCCCCTCCCCAGGTTTGGGTGGACAGGAGGGCTTCCATCACCCACTTGCTCAGTCCCCCAGGACCACCAGCACCAACTCTTCAGCTGCTGGGAGCAGAGCAAAGGACAGCAGGAGCGACAGGGTCAGAATATCTCCATCACCACGGCATGTGCCCATAGGACACCCGGGTTTAACTCCCCATCAGGACGTGCCTGACCAACTTGGCATGTGCATGGGAGACAGTGGGCATCCCTCAAGCACAGAGCACACAGCTGCAGCTCTCAGACATGGGGGCACTGGTCCCCATGGTTCAGGACAGCAAAGGAGCCAAGGGAGGATTGCAGGTGCTCCTGAGGGGTCTGCAAAAAGCTCACCTTACCGGTGCAGGGCTGGGTGGGAAGGGAGGGGACATAGCCAGGCAGGAAACATGCAAAGCCAATTCACATCCCCAGCTGGGGGATGGCTCCTGCTGTGTGAGAGGGGCTGGGGCAGCCCCTGCCACATCCAGCCATGGAGCCAGGGCCTGCCGTGTGTCAGGGTGTCCCATGGGAGGGGAGATGCGGGATGTTCCCCTCCAGCACGTGTATGCACACACCAGGATGGGAGACTGAACCCTTCCCGGTACCATGTGCAAGGAGGGGGAAGCTTAAGAGCCAAGAGGTGGTTAATTCCTTGAGCAACCCCCTCCCGAGGGTCCCTGCAGCCTGGCTGTACCAGGCAGGACCTCACAGGAAAGGTAATTCCAACCAAGTGCAAGGGAGTGAACCCCAAATCCTATTAGGGGCTATGGGGGCTCTTGAAGGGAGGCACAGCCCCCTCTGGCCTCTTTCTGTGTCCCCGCCCGCCATCCAAGTGCCAGTGCCCAGGGGACTTGCACAGGTCTTATGAGTGTCCCTCACCCCCCGGCACAGCCATGGCCATGGGGATGGTGCTGCCTGCCACGCTCACCCTGATCTGCAGAATCAAACCTTACAACTCAAAGAGAGCTTCCCACCGAACACAGAGACAAAATGAACTTAAACTCATTTTCAAAAATCTAACTATATCTTATATGTTCACTTATCAACCCCACGCAGTGTGCACAGAGCCCTGCTCCGGGCCAGCCAAGGACCAGCAGCCCCATAGGATCTGCTCCCAAGGGGAGATGGGAGCTGGCCCTCTCCATCCGAGGAGGAGAGTAGAGTCCCCTGGAGGAAGCAGGCATCTGGCTGCCACCACCACCATCAAGTTGGAGCTCAGAGCCCAACAGTGCCACTGGTTGCAGAACTCTAGCTCAACCCACAAGCCTGGCCCCTCTCTCTGCCCAGGACCCCAAAAACCAGCCCAGCCATACGGCCTCACACCCCACTCTGTTCCCGTTGGGTAAGGGTGCTCATGCAGTCAGCTAAGTGATCGAGACCCCCCTGGTCCCTCTGCAACAGGGTCCCCTCCTCAGCAGCACGTACCTGTGCACAGGGGCACTTTCATAGCTCCTCCAGCATGACCCTCCCCTCTGACCCCATCACAAGCAAAGTCTGGCTTTAGCAGCGTGGGGTCCCTGTGGGACCAGCTCCCTGGGGACATGGGAGCCTGGAGCTGGTGGCACCAGAGGGCATTGCTGGGGGCTGCTGCTCCTGCACGGCTTAAACTGGTGCTGGGCTGGCTGGGGCACTGCAGGGCAGGGATGGGGCGAGATGCTGGAGACACGTGTGTGGCAGGGGGGTGTCAGATGCAGCCTGAGCAGTGGCTTCTCTCAGACCCCTCACCAAGGGGCACCAGTTGCCCTGGCTGGCAGCAGGGCAGGGTCTCCACTCCCAAATTAACCCTGCTCCTCTCTGGCCTCTGCAAGAAACCAGTTCATGGTGAGGATCTGGATGGGAAGACGCAATGCAGCGGTGACACCAATGCCACTAGGACCAGGTGAGGTGTGGCTGGAGGCAGCGCCTGCCATCGCAGGCAGCATCCCAGCACGCTGCCTGCATCCCCTCCTCCCAAGAGGCACTGAAGCAGCACCCTTGGGTGCTGCTGGTGGCTCAGCTGCTGCCTCACCCCTCGCTGCCGTTAAGCACCAAAGCTGGGAGCAGCCAACCCCTAAATTTCTCCCGGGGGCTCAGCCAGTGCTGGTCCCTGCCAGGGTCTCTTTACCTCATAAGAGTGGCAGGGATCCCACACAGCGTGTCGTGATGGCAAACACCCGTGGCAGCCTTCCTCTTCCTCTGTCCTTCACCCACAGGAGCACCAGGGCACGGCCAAACTCCTCCTGCCTTGCTTGGTGAGGAGAAAGGCTGCAATGAAAATCCCCATGAGGGAAAGCAGAGGGCTGCGGGAGCATCCTAGGCAGGGAGAGAGCCGAGCTCAATGCTCCTCGGGCCCTGGGGACAGGGCTGCTGGTGGCCAGACATGGGGGAGATAGACCAGCTGCTGGCCCAGGGTGGCAGAAGGAGGAAGAGCCACTGTTTGCAGTGATGCACCTTGCTCGGCAGCAGGGGAACCATGCAGGACAGGCAGGGAGGTTTCACCAGCTGCTGCCAGGCAAAGCTCTGGGGAATCAAGACGCCCGTGGAGAGCGGGCATGGAAGGCGAGTGCCTCGCCGAGGTATTTAATAGCTGCTGTGCTGGGAGAATGCCAGCCGGGCGGTCCAGTCCCAGCAAGCAAAACTTTCCATCCCACTGGTGAGCTGGAGACGCTGTTTGTTTTCCTCCCAGGGCAGCCAGCAATGAGCTCGAGATGCCAGCTGCTCCGGAGAGCTGGGAACACACTAGGGTCAGAGCAAAACCCGGGACACCCTCATCCTCCTCCAGCTCTGGGGAATGGCCTTCAGTGGTGGGAGGTGACACTGATAGGAGCACAGAAATTGGAGCCAAACTGCATGGTTCAGAGGTGTGAGAGGACACGGCACTCTTGCACAGTGCTGCTCTTCCACCCCTCTCCCCAAATCCCATCCCCAACTGCTCCCATCACGTGGGGGTTGTGGGAACGTATCTTGGCATACCCCGAGAGGATTACGGGAACTGAAAGGGTACGTGTCTGGAGACATGAAAAGGCAGAGTCGAAACCAGGGTGTCAGCAGCTGAGTTGACAAGAGATGAGGAGGGAGCCTTGAAATGTATCAAAAGGTGTACTCTGGCAAGCAAACAATAAAGGATGCGCGCAAAGTCTATCAGCTAACCGCTATGAAGAAAAAGGTGCTTGAACAGCTCATGAACAACTGCTTTGCGTAAACATGAAATTAATGATATATAAACCTGAGCATTTGCTTAATAAAGGGTCTTTGCTTATAACCCAATCATTGTAAACTGCTTCATGTGAACATGAAATTAATGACAGATAAACCTGAGCTTTCGCTTAATGAAGGGTCTTCACTTACAACTCTTACAGAGTTGTCTGAAGTCCACCTCTTTGCTGCCGACACCATCACACCCCAGCCAGCCCTCGGCAAGGATCTCCAGTGCTTCCTGGAGAAGCAGGTTTGCAGCACATTTAACACCCAGTCCCACTCCCCATGCAGCCTGGGTGGAGGGAGGGACCTGGCCTCCCTTGAGCCGTGGGGGACGTGACGCAGCTCCCGGGGGAGCTGGCACAACCCGGCAGGTACCTGCCATCCCAGTCACGCGACGCGGCCGGAGCAGTTTTAATGGCTCTGTGCATTAACGTGATATTTATCATTGAGAGGGCAGGAGGAGGAAGAGACCAGCCCCCGAGGGCTGAAGTCCCCTTGGCCATGCGAGCTGGTGGCAGCAGTCACCCCTGAGTGCTGATCCTGACCCACAAGAAGTTTTACCCCGCGTTAGCCAGTGAAATCCCCCGGGGATGGTGCTGGGAAGGCATTTTACAGCTCCCCACGTGTTTGGCGCTGGCGTGAGAACAGGTGAGTCGGCATCTCCATCCAGAGCAAGCTCACCATGAGCTCAGCCCTTCGCGTCCCCTCCGCCCACCCTGTGCCACCAGGAGCACTGCACTCTGCCCGCCAGCCCTGGCACCAGCAGCCCCATCCGCAGGGCACAGCCCAGCTGCCCCTTGGTGCTGGTGCCTGTGGGTCCCCAGGGAGCCTCAGCCTGGTCCCCAGGCGCTTGGGGTGGACACGGTGGCTCTGCCCTGGGGACAGGAAAGGGAAGTGAGAGGCGACACACTGAGCTGGCACAGGGGGACGGCTGTGCAAACGCTCTGCTGTGGGGACGAGGCGGGTGACAGCAATGAGGAGGTAACAGAGATGGGTCTCAGCACCCATGAGCACATCCTGAGCTCAATAGGAGCAAAAAGGGTCCTGAGGGCAGCACGGTGTCACTTCATGCTGGAAAAGATGTCCAGGGAGAAAGAAAAACACACTGGGGACATTGCTATCACCCACAGGGTGGCAACAAATGGGTGAGAGGGTAACCTGGTCTGGTTAATAAGATCTCCCACCATCACCATCTACCCTCTCAAAGCCACCTTGTCCACTGAAGTTCTCAAAGCCTGATATCCAGCAGCAAGGGACACAGCCACAAAGCAGTGAAGCCCCATCCCCTCTCAAGCATGGGACACTGGTGAGCAACTGGGATGAGGTTTTAGTCTTTAACCGGGCAAGGCATAGGGAGAGCTACCAGGGCTGGATGCCAGCACCAGCCCCGGGGTGAATCACGACAGATGCTGACCCAAGGAAGCACGC